AAACCAAAGGTACCAAAACACACCATCATCATAGAGCACTGAAAGGCGCACACATTTACCCGGAAGTCCGTAGAACGGAACAAAGTTCAAAAAGGAGAAAAAATATGAGTCGCCTCCAGACTGAAACCACAAAAACCGACAGACACCGTCTTCTTCGATATCGAAATCGCGTAGCTGCGCGCAGTCACTCACGACAAGCCGCATCACCAGGCGAAAACAACCTACTACTTTCTATTTAACAACAAAAAAGGAAAAGCACTGCGAAAGAACAGCGTCTCCGCCGACCGGTCCGCGACATTAGCGAATAATGATAACCCGCACTCTCTAGGGCACGCCACACTCCTGCAACAGCGAGACAACATAGACCGCCTCCGGTGAACGATGACCCCATCACGACCTCCAAAAGGACGCCATAGCTACGCGCCGTCGACGGGGTGCGCGCCTTCACACGTGTTTCATCCGCTCGGCCAACTCCTCGCATAACGCCAATGCACGGGGCTGATTGAAGTTCTCAGCAATGGGATGGGGTGGATGATCCAACCCCAAGTCCACTCGCCGCCGCACGCCATTAGCATCTACGTCCCACACCAAGTTCTCGTCGAAGTGCATGCCAGCGTCAAGGAGGACGTTGTGCAAAATGCACATGGCCTGGAATTGTTGCGGAGAGTGTCCATATTCGTCTTGTGTGTGCGGAGGAACAACCTCCACATCCCTTTCAATCTCCCGAAAGCTCTCTCCACTGCTCCCCTGGCGACCTTTTGCTTCAAGTTGTTGTCGAATCTCTCCTCGTCGGGGATTTGATCGGTCCCCCCGTACGGCACGACAATCCACTCCAGCGGTGGATACCCGTTGTCGCCCAGAATGTAACCGTGTGTCCTCACTCCGAACGGCAGCACAACAGCAGGTCCACGGAAAAGATCCCCCTCCTCCGCACGCGCCTACAGATTGGAGAGCTTAAGCACCCGAATGTCATGGCAGCTCCCTGGGTAACCGACGAAAACGTCCGTGATGCGCAAGTCCAGGTCCACCACCACCTGCGCTACAATAGAGAAACGATGCTTCCGGTCGAAGTAGTTCTCCGAAGGAGCGTTCGCCGGTTTGTCGACGTAAACGTGCGTGCAGTCTATGCAGCCATAGCAGTTGGGAAAGCCCTTCGCCTTGAAGGCGCGCAGAACGAGCACACGACGCATCCCAGTAGGCCAAACGATCTTGTCATCGTACACCCTTAGGAGCGCCCTGGTAACGTCCTCCACTGCGATCAAACCGGATGCGCGCCCTATTCCGAATGAGGACGTGCTGCTCTCGTACGTCTCCCCGCTCGCCCATCGGTACAACGCATATGCGATGATGTGATCTGGCTGCAAAGGAACCCTGTAGAATGTCACCCGCCACTGCAGAAGAGGGGACAACGCCTCCACGATCTCCATGAGCACCCTGGGGGACATCCTCAACTTTTCCTTGTAGTACTCGTCTGAGGCGTCGTCCATCTTCCACAGATCCTCCCACATGCCACCCGTCCTTCTCTTCATCCACCACCTTGGAGTTGCCCGCGGTATCACCCCGGATGACTTGGCGGCGCAAAACTGGATAATGGATTCTGACATGGAAACGCAGTCTGGCGCCTCCATCACTTGCTGGAGGAGCTCACGCTGCCTGCGAATAGACACTCTCATCCTCAGGCGCGCCGTCGTTCTTTCGATGCGACATCGCATGGCCACCGCCGACACTGCTGCAACCACCGCATTTCTCTCCACCCTACTCAAGGTGTTGCCACGAACCTCCTGCGACACGTGGTCCATCACGAACGTTCGACAGCGCCTTTTTGAACACGCACTCTGAACGGACGACGGGACCCTCGTTCCACACTGTCCCGGCGGCGCTCTGACGAGGGAAGCTCCTCGTACACGAATGACGGGCACGTTCAGCTATGGGGAGCCACCGGATCGTCATTGTCTGTAGGAAGAGGAAACTGGAACCCGCACCACTTCACGCGCTCCAACGTCGTCACCTTCCGCGCCGCGCCGGCAGACGATCAGATGAACGAGTCGCCAACAGCGATGGGCGCCGCAAATCGTCCGAGTAGACGTTTCCCACAGTGGTAGCTCCAGGGCTGATCACGCCACGGCGCGCCGGTGCGTATGAGCGAAGGGTTTGAAATTCGAATTTCGAAAAGGAACCTTCGCGCCTCTTTTCGCAGCGCAGCATCGCAGGCCTCCTTGCGCCGCCAGCGGACCACGCCTGAGGACGGACGGACATCCCACCACGACGACGAACATCCTCCCCCGCGGCCTCATATATGCGTATGAAATTGGCCGCGGGATACCTCCAAGGTTTTTCCTTGGGACCCTTTCGTTTAGGACGCGGTGTAACGCCGCCGCCGAAACCCTTCGAATTTTCCTTGGACTTCGTCCTAATTCCTGAGGAATTTTCAAGGAGGGCCTAACGAGGCCCTTGGTCTAATAGCAACAAGACCATCACCCCATAGACCATTGTAGCATCATTTTTTTTTATTTTTTTTTTTTGGTAGCATCATATTACTAATGCATTCCTGTAAGAATAGCCCATGATTGCTCCTTATTCTCCCCTTAAGCTACCGCTCCTTAATCGTCTATGGCCGCGTCCGCCAGTTGGAGATCGTTAACTTCCTATCCACAGTCACTGCCTCCCGCTGATTACCTCTGGCCCTTTTTTTTTTTTTTTTTTTTTTCAGGAACCAGAAGTTCATTCACAGAAGTTGTTGCACAATCTGGCCCATGTTTTCAGGCCCATGTTTTCAGGCCCATGTTTTCAGGCCCATGTTTTCAGGAACAACAAGCCCTTTTTCTTGCTAGTACAGCTACCCAGCCAATCTGCTCGCAGTTGACTGCGGATGTTGTTTCTTTTTTTTTTCTTTTTTTTTTTTTTAATAAAAAAACTGCAGTGCTAGTGATGCTGGTTCCAACGAACAGACACCACTAGCACCCGGGGGGGAGGCTCCATCTATTGGTGGGGAGCGTCACCTGCTGGAAAACGGGTCCAGCGTCCCATATGCAGAAACGAGTACAGAATAAATCGAGAAGCTAGTTGAAAAAGCCTGCCAGCATTGACTAAGCAGGCTGATCAGGAAAGGGAGAGAACCTCTTCGCCCTGGCACCAGGCGCCAGATATCTACAGCTAAGATCCTAGTTCCTCCTTTCCCACCGTTAAGTAAGTCATTACCCATGGGGGCTTCCAAACTCTACCAGGAGGTCTGATAGACTAAGACAACCACCTGCCTTGAGAGTAAAGCACTGAACCGTTTGACAGAATCAGACAGCATAGACAGCGACTGACCCAGATCCTGAAACCAAGGTACTGTGGAGAGAGCAGGGGCTGGAGCTGACCGCTGTTCACTAGTCTCTCTGAGCTCCTTCTTCCTGCCCATACCACTGTAGCTCTACAATTGATGTGGCTGCAGGGGGAAACATGTCAGGGAAGTCCACCGGGTTTCTCATCGGGATTTCTTGGCCGATCTGCATCTATTCATGGAACTGAAGCTTGCTTTTCTTGGAGAACCCGTTGTCGTCCCTTCCTTCCTCTCTGTCCGCATGGCCAATGATGTGTGCCAATCTGCCACCCTTCTCCCCTCCCAGCCAATCTGCGCTGAACTTGCTGATAACTCTTGTGATGTCTGCCTGCTGCGTTAGGTGAGCTATCGTTTCCTTTACTTTATTCCACTGCACTCTTATTTCCGTTTCTATAAATTGTCTGACTGTCTCTCCTGCTTCCCCGTCTCCCATTCTGGCCCCTTCCTGGTCATACACGCATCTCCTTATCCAAAGCATCCATACCACAGCTTTCCGGGCGATCTCAAATAGATTTGTGGCGTAGTTGGAGGGGAGAGGCCTTCCCCATTCCCCTAATAGAATCGTTTTCCATTTCCATGGCCATTCCTCCCCAGTTTCGAGTTGTGACCAGATACGGTCCCACCAACGCCACGTTAAGATCGCCCCTGGGCACTGGAGGAAGATGTGCTCAATTGTTTCACAGATTTTGCGACTCGGAAATCCTGACAGACAGAACTTGCACCATGGTAGGGCCTCCCCTTTCTGTTCCAGATTCGTCCTGTCAATTATCCAATTGTTGGTGGGGAGACATCTGTGGATAATTTGCCATTGCAGGGCGGTGAATTTAGCCGGCCTTTCCCTTATTCCTTTGAACCATTTGATCCCTTTTATCTGATCGTCCCCTAGATTTAAGTGTCTCTTCCATCTTTCCTTCACCACTGTCCTCGCATCCACTCTGGGTCTAATCATCCTGTATGTGCTTTTTACAGTTAGGTTGGAAAGCTGTATCTTTGCCCTGTCCGACCTCTCACCCATTGCCATTCTAGGGGGTCTAGGGCCAGAGTGGATAGGGGAACTTCCGGACGGTAGACTTGCCATACTGTGTTTCCCCTTTGATGTGTTTGCAGTACTCGTATACGGTATACATTGCCGTTTTCGTGCCATTGAACTGAGTCTGGGTGGTATCTAACCAGGGTGTTGTTTCTGATCTGAGCTTGTTTTTGCTGAATAGACACAGTCTCTCCTTGAAAAATTCTTGCATGAGGGGCTCTCCAGATTTCCTGCATTATTACCCCACTGCAGAGTCTGCAGACCAGGGCCACAGTTATCAAGGTATTGAAGCGAGACCCTTTGCTTTGCCTTGCTTTGCTTTGCTTTGCTTTGCTTTGCTGTCTTTTTTTTTCTTCAAAAGGGCGACCGTCTTGAGATATCATCATTGAGTTGGCCGGCCCCAGGTAATTCAGAATTATATATAAAAAAAAGAATTATTCCATTGCATTCATCAATTTCCATCAGGGTCCTTCGGGACATCCGTTAAAATGGGAATGATACAGAGAAAGAAGAGGTTTTTTTTTTTTTTTTTTTTTTTCCCCTTTTTGGAGGGAAAGAAGATTAGCATGGCCCCTGCGCAAGGATGACACCCGTAAATCGAGAAATGGTCCATTTTTTTCTGCAAAACGACAGCCAAGGGAACGGGCTTGGAAGGATCGGCAGGGAAAGAAGACCCTGTTGAGCTTGACTCTAGTTTGACTCTGTGAAATGACTTGAGAGGTGTAGAATAAGTGGGAGCTTTAAATTAAAAATAAATAAATAAAAGGGGTAACTTCGGCGCAGTCACCAAAACAGTTTGTAATAGCATTCGAAACTGCGTTTTAGCAGTTTCGTCAGGGCCCGAGTTTCAATTGCAGTTGAAACTCGGCCCTATGCAGTTCAGTCAGGGCCCTCGTCTATCCACGAACAGCAGATAAACAAAAAAAAAAAAAAAATCCCTTATGCTGTGCTTGCGGTCCTATACAGGATGCTACAGTACTTGTCTGGAACTCAATGAAGCGTGGAATCCGCCCTGCCTGGCTGGCAGGGCGCTACAGGGACCTCAGAACAAGAAACAAAAAAGGAAATTGACCTGATTCATGTTCCTCACTTCCTGGCCAGATACATTCCTCAAAGCACCCGTGACCTGAGGGCCTTCCGGACGTAGGTGGATTCCAAGTTCCTCGTTTCCTTACTTTTTTTTTTTCTTTTTTTTTTGTTTGGCCTCCATCCTTGCCCCGAGGCCCCCACTTCTTCGGAGTAGGCTACTCTTGAGACTTCGCGTTTGCCTGTGAAGGGTAGTGCCTGCGAATCTCGGCTGTGGCCGAGACATCTCGGCCGTGGCCAATCTGGGGTGTGGCCGAGACATCTCGGCCGTGGCCAGTCTGGGGTGTGGCTGAGACATCTTGGCCGTGGCCAGTCTGGGGTGTGGCCGAGACATCTCGGCCGTGGCCCAACCATGGGGCTGTTTTTT